TAGGGGTCACCCTGGGGCCAGGGCTCTGGGTGATTTATTTTGAGAGCTGGGTAGTAGGGGTTTTGTGATTTCCTGTTGGGCTCTGGGTGTCTCTGCCATCCCCACCCCAAACTCAGACCCAAGTTTCTTCTTTCCCTGGCAACATCCAGGCTCTCTCACTTTTTCTCTTCCAGGCTAAATTGGGAGTGTGAAGCTGCTCTTCTTCCCAATTTAGCATTTGAATTAAAGTGAGAACTGAATGTGGCTGGAAAGCTGGCTCCCATCTGTGTGTGTGAGAGGAAACTAGGAGAGCAAGTGAGCACGGCTCAGGCTGGGGGAAGTGCAGCGAGGGCAGCCCATCTGAGCAGCTCCAGTCTAGGGCAGACACCGTTCTCAGGGGCAGGCAAGCACCGGGCGGAGAGATACTGACCATTGAGGGTTCTTTCAACAGGAGTGGGAGAATGCTGCAGGGGCGCCATTCAGGCATCCTGCAGAAACGTGCCTGGCGTGTGCCAGGCCCCGTGCTACCGTCTGGGCAAACAGTGAACCAGCTGTACTCAACGGCTTTCACCCAGCACTTAGCCTGGCAGGGAAACAGACTAAGAAATAGGCAACAACCAAACAGGGTGATGCTTGCTGTCAGCGGGAAAGGACACATGTGGAGGGGTCTGGAGGGGCATCTGCCAGCTGGGGTGGGGTGGCCCGGGGAGCTGTGTCTGAGCTGAGATCTGAAGCGTATCTAGGAGCTGACCTGGTGGAGAACACACGTGCTTTGGACAGAAGAAACTGTGAGTGCCGAGGTTTGAGTGGACTCGGTTTCTGCAGGCGGGAACTGGGACTGGGTGAGCTGGACTCTAGAGAGCTCAGGAGGGCTCTAGAGCTTCCCCTGCTACCTGTTCCCCACCTCCTCCTCTTCTCCCAGATGACAGTGACCTGCACCAGAGAAGTCTGCTAGGGCTCCAGACAGCCCAGGTGGGGCCTGGAAGGCTGTAGTCGCCTTCTGAGCTGGTCACTTGCAGAACAGGGCCTGGCAGAATGGAGGAAATGGGATGTTGATTTCATTGTGGGAAACCAGGCTGTCCAAGAGGGTCTCTGCCTGGTTCAGCGTATCACCGTGCTTCTCAGGTGGCTGGCTGAGCTGATCTCTGGGGAAAGCCTCCTCTTAGCTGACGGGACGGGACTAACCAGTAATTCTGGCTGAGATTGGAATGGGGCAGAATCTTGAAAAGGAAGCCTCTGTTGGCTTACACAGGAAGAGCCATCTGGGGGTCATGTATTTCCCCACTGGCACTTGAGTTCCCAGTTGACGGGCACAGCCAAGGGATGCAGGTGTAAAACCTGCCATCAATATTTCAAGCAGCATTATTTATTGATCACTCTTCTGGCTGGGACAAAAGCAGAGTGTAATTTATAGGGGATGTAGGCCTGGTGGGGTCAGCTGGGGAAAGAGGTCAGGAAAAGGTTAGGCTGTTCAGGGGCCCCACCACAGGCCCTGGCAAGGACACTTTGGGGTTCCAGGGTCTGCTCTCTCATTTCCACTCCACGGTACATGGGTTATTATAAAGGAAGAGGCAGAGGGCAAGGGAATCTGGAGCAGGCCCAGAACTGCCATGTTGGCCACCGGTAGACCACATCCTAGGAATAGGCCAGTGTGTGCCAGTCTCCCTCTGGACCCAGCCCTCCCCACCCCAGCCCCGGCCCTCTTCATTTCCTGTGGGTCTTTGTCCCCTCATGATCCCCAGATCAGCTCCAGCAGCCTGTCAAGATGCACTTTCAGAAGCCCAGAGTGGGTGCCCTCCCAAGTCGGCCTGGCACTGTCCCAGCTCAGGGTACACCCCGTGCTTTGTGTGCAACAGAGACTGCTTGGAACCCTCAGCTGTCCTGTCCACCCTCAAGGATGCTTTCTTTACCATCTCCAGCTCCAGGGAGAGGAGCACGGGGCACGCTGCTCAACAAACCCTGAGCCACCGCCTGCAGGAGAGAATTGTCCTTGTCTGCCTGCGCCCGTGGATGCCTACATTGGGAGGGAGCTGCGCCATCTAGTGGCCTTTTATCTCCTTGCAGGCTCTGCACCACCCTTGCTGCCTCCTGCCTAGATTTGGGACTTCCTCGCAGACAGGACCCACTCCCAGTGCTGGGACATGTGGTTCCCTCCAGATCCACACAGACCTGACCCAGTTCAGAGAAAGAAAGAAACACTAGGGGAGTTTGGGAGGGAGATGATCATGTATTGGCTGAAATTTAAGGATACTGGAGAAGCCAGCAGGGGCTTTTGGCTTGGAAGTAACCTCAGCCTTCATCCTGGATGCTGACCACAACCCAGCGCTCCAGTCTACCCCCTGTTCCCTCTGCCAGCGCTGCCTCCTTCCAGGCGAGCAATGCTGGACAGAGCTCAGCTGATTTGCAGAGCTGGTGGAGGCTGGATGGAACTGCTGCTGGCTTTCCTTTGACGTCACAGCCTGGAAATCCCATTTTAAGCAGGTTCTCTGGGTGTGGGGCACCCACAAGAAAGGGAGGGGGAGCCAGCTGAAGTTGCGCCAGGATTGAAGCTATTCTAGCCAGGAGCCTTGGGCCTGGAGGGCTGCCCAGTATCCCCCAGGAGGCCTACATGCAGAGCTCCAGCCCCCAGCTCCCTGCCCCCAGCCCAAGTAAATACCTTTCAAAGCCTCTGGGGGTCCAGGCACAGATCTAGGACCCTCTACACAGCTGTGGCCACACAATTCTGTTCTCCACTCCCCTGTCCAGGAGAGATGTGCTGAGGCAGAGCCTTCTAGAAGGGCAGGTGGCTCCAGGGCGTGGGGAGACAGTGAGAGGTCCCCTGGACCCAGATGTGTCCCGCTGGCCAGCCTGCTCCCAGGGGCCTTTCCATCCATCCTTTTTGTCACCCTCCGCTCCCTCTCTCTTCCTGCACCACAGGGGGCAGGCCCTGTGCCCACAGTTCTAGAAACCTGCATGTTTCCATGGCAACAGAGCAAGGCGCTTAGCAATCTGAACATGTACCTGTCCACATAGAGAAACCCAAATGTGTACAGAGTGCCTGGCAGTGCTGAACCTCAGTGATCTCCTTAGCCATGATGGTACAAGCACACACCTGAGTGTGAGTGTGAGTGTGAGTGTTTGTGTGTGTGTGTGATAAGCAGATGAGATTCAGGTGGACAGTGTCTAATCTGGTTTACTGACCATATGGAACCTCCTAGCATGGGGCTGCTGCATCTTGGTTTCTGGGGATCTCTCTAGAACAAACCTGTTCCTTGGTACCTACTCCTTTCTGATGGAGAAAGGGGCCAATTTCTCGGAGACCAGTGCTGAAGGCAGTGACCTTCAGAAGAGCTGGGAAGAGGGCTGGTTGACCGGAGGACACCAGGGGAGTCCAAAGGGTCATCTCACCTCTTGCCCCTACTTTGACCTCGAGTTCAGGAGGTTTTTAAGTAGATTGGCTCAAGTGTAGCAGGTAGACATGCCCTATGCTACCAGGGAAGAAGAGGAGAGACTGACAAGGGGCATTTTCCAAAACTTGTGGTCCAGAGCCTGGGCCCAGGACCCCAGTCACACCCCTACCCCCATGCTATGCTCGGGACCCTCTGTTTGTGCCCCCAAGGCTGAGCTGCTCTTTCCCTCCCTGCCCCTCCGCTCTTTGCCTCTGTTGACCTCTCTTGTGTCACTGCCACTGCTCCTCTGCCACCCGCTCCCTTCTCCTGGGCCCCAGCTTCTGGGATCTCATCTGCAGCTAACTCTGCTGCTTGGCTCCTGGTGGCCTTGGCTCGACCTGCCCTGGGCTCGCATCCCACGCCCTGCAACCCTTTCTCTTCTGCAACGTAGCCCAGCAGTTCAGGCCTTGTCCCCCTCCTTCCTCAGGGTGTGCCTCTTTGGTCCCAGCCCTTGGTGCCCTGTCTCTCTTGTGTGTGCCCGGGAGCGATGGGGCTGTTTTCTGCATAGCCCCCTTTCTTGGCTTCCTAATCTCTGCCTCTTCCCTCAACATTCTGTGTCTCTGGCTTAACCTCTTGGTGTCTTTTGGCCTCTCTTGGCATGGTGACCGCCCAAGCCCCAGCAGGACCTTAGCCATTCTCTGGGGCCTTTGTTCCCATAGCCCGTATCTCTCTGTGGGATACTAGAAGGTCCAACTCAAGTCTTGAGGGTGGGCATTTAACACAGTGGTTAAGATACTGCTTGGTGTGCCGACATCCCATATCAGGTCCCTAGGTTCGAGTCCCCGTTCCACTTCCAATCCAGCTCTCTGCTGATGTTCTCCCTGGGAGGTGGTAGGTCCTTCCACCTGAGTCTGAGCCCAGGTGGAGCTCTTGGCTCCTGGCTCCCACCTGGCCCAGCCCCAGCTGTTGCAGACATTTGCAGAGTAAACCAGCAGATGGAAGATCTCTTGCTCTGCCTTTCAAACAAACAAATAAATGTTTTTTTAAAAATTTTTTTTATTAAAAAAAAAGCTGATTTTGGGGGTTGCAGCCTCTGGCTCACTTTTTTTGTTTGTTTGTTTTAAGATTTATTTATTTACTTGAAAGGCACAGTGAGAGACAGAGAGAGGTCTTCCATCCATCCACTGTTTTATTCCTCAAATGGCCACAACAGCAGAGACTGGGCCAGGCCAAAGCCAAGGGCCAGGAGCTCCATTCAGGTGTCCCAGTTGGGTAGCAGGAACTCAAATACCTGAGCCATCAGCTGCTTCCCAGGTGCATTAGTAGGAAGCCGGATTGGAAGTGTGAACCACCATTCCCATATGGGACGCAGACATGCCAGGAGGCAGACCAACCTGCTGTGCCAGAACACCCGGCCCCTCTGGCCCTTAAGTCCTAGCCTCTGAGGCCCCTGGCCTTATCTCGAACGCCCAAACCATTTCCCCAGAAAGAACCAGCTCAAGCCTATCTCTTCCCTGGAGACCAGAGCTCCCGGGGTTTGGTCTGCTTCTCCAGCCCCCACCCCACATCCCATAGTTAGGCCTTGCTAATTCTTACTTGGATCCTTCCCGCCTGTCAGCCAAGGGAGGCAAGAACAATGCTCAGAGGCCAAAGTCAATGAGGTGCCAGCGTTCGGTTTATTGGCTCATCCAATGCTAAAGGTCCAACAAGCACCCTCTTCCCAAGGATTCGGGAGCTTCTGGCTGGCTCCTGCGTTCTTGTCTTCCTCCCAGGTTCTTCCTGACCTGACTGATGCCATGGCAGAAGCTGCAGCAGGATATGGGGTGGAGCCTGGGCTCATACAGGGCCAGTCTGCTTGGCACAGCAAGGGGACATGAGGGCCGTGGGGGAGGGGGCCCCTGTCCCGAGGGGTGGAGTAGTTCAGCACAGGGGTGCTGCAGGAGTGGGGGAGTGGGATCCCTCAGAGCCCCCTTCTCTGAATGGCTGGGGTCCTCTGAACTCAGAGACTAGGAGGCAGGGAGGGGAGGGAGGAAAGGAAGGGAGGGGGAGTGGCCAGCTGCTGTGGGGCTGAGGGTAGGAGGAGTGACGGGAGGAATGAGAGTCCAGCCCAGCCCTGGAGAGCCACGCCCAGCCATACCACAGCCCCGGGGACACCCACCTCCCAGGGGGACATGCAGCACACGCCAAGCCGGCTGCAGCTCTGGCCTGGCCCTGTTGGTCATTTGAGCCTGCGCTGACCCCCGCCCTCCAGTCACAAGGGCAGCCTGCAGCCCCCTTTTCTCGCAGGCACTGTCAGGCCCAGCCTTGGTCCATCTGGGCGGTGGCCTGTGCTGCTCCAACCCACGGAGAGCAGTGGGGGTGTGGTGGGACCTCAGAGAAGGGAATGGCCATGGTCTTCAGCAAGGCACTGGGTGGGTGGGGGCAGGGCTGCCATGGGGAGGGGTGGGGTGGGCCGAGGAGCCCTCACCTCCCTGGGTGGCTCAATGCTCAGGCCCTGGGCCAGCCTCTACCCCCAAACCCTTCAGCTGGGCCCACCCCCCTCTTTTCCAAGCCCCACCTCCCGCCCCGCCAGAGGAGTGGCCCCTGGACAGGCACCAGAACTGGTCGTGGGAGGGGCCCCAGGGGCCTGAGAGAGCCAGGCCAGCGGCACAGCTTGGAGCAGGGGCTGGGCTCAGGCCCACCCGGAAGCTTCCTTCTGGCTCAAGCCGAGTCACCCCCGCCCACGGGCTTCTTCTTGGGCCTTGTCTTCAGAGTCTTGGAGGCCGGTGGCTGTGAAGGGAAGGCGAGGGGCAGCTCAGCCGGAGCCGCACGCTCTCCACCTCCCCAAGCTCTGGCCCAGGCTCTCACCTCAGCTTTGGGCACTTTTTTGATGGATTTGACCCTCTTGGGGGCCTTGTCTCCCACATCCTCCTCAGAGGCCTCTGTCCGGGGATCTGCCTGGGTGGTGCTCGGCCTTAGACTCAGGGCGGGGTCATCTGTTCGCAGGACATAAGCAGAGCAGGGCTCCGGGGGTCTCTGCTCCCTGGCCTCCTTGCCCTTCAGCCCCACCCTCACTCAGTCCCAGGTCCTGGCGGTACCTAAGTCCTCGATGGTGTCCAGCAGACTGCCGGGGCCTGGTCGGAGGCGGCTGTCAGGCGCCTGCAGGGGCAGCGCGTCCTCGTCCCGGATCAGGGTCAGGTCCTGCATGCTGAAGCTTCGGAGCTTCTCCGACAGCACCCCCTGGCCCTAGGGTCACCACCACGCACCGCGAGAGCAGGGGCAGGGGCGGGGTGGGGACAGAGGTCACCAGGGCGGCGGCAGCTGCCCCCAGGCTCAGAGTCCTCCCTACACAGTCGTCACCGAGGCCTATGCAGTGCTGAGTCCGGGGCTGTGCTGCCCCTTTGGACTGATGAGGAAACTCAGGCCGGTCAGTGGGAGTGACTCAGCTGGAGGGTGGCACAGCCAGGGCTGTAACCCTGAGTTTCAAAGGCCCAAAGACAGACTGGGTGCCCAGGGGCTCTGCCCTGGGGCACATGATGGACCCCAGGGGGCCCGTGGGAGTACGGGCCCGCCCCCGTCTCACCTTGGTAGCAGCCGTGACAGCAGCATTGGCGGCAAGGTTCAGGCCCCTCTTGCCCACCCTCATCATGGTTTCATAACTCTTGTCTCGGGCCTGTGTGATGTACTCGTCGATTTCCTGAGCGGGGTAGGGGAAGGAGGCGGAGGTGAGAGGTGGTGCTGTGCCAGGGGCCCTGCCCTACCCTGGCTCACCCCTGGACACAGGCAGTGTCTGCTCCAGAAGGCCTGGGCCCTGCCAGGTCTCTCCAGGCTCTGGGCACCCAGAGAAGGCAGGGAGGTACGTGGCTGAGAGTAGGGACCAACCTTCTCCTTGTTGGACAGGGTTGGGTGCACGAACTTGCGGTAGAGCACGCTGGAACCCTTGGTGTACGGAGACAGCAGCCATATCACGAAGGCGATCTTGAGCTCGAAGTAGAAGGGGAACCTGTTGGGAGACGGGCAAGCGCAGAGCACAGGGGAGGGAGTCAGGAGGGCACACCCCCTCACCTCTCACTGGGCTGGGTCATTCCTCACCCCGAGGGTGGGAGGGAAGCAAGTGACTCCGGAAGGAATTTCCTGCTGGAGTGGCTCTCCTTGCCCTCTCCCTCCTGCAGAAGACCCCCAGCCCGTCGGCTCTGGGTCAGCACCCAGGCCTGGGCCCCTCCAGCCCTCAGCTCCTTCCACAAGCCAGAGTCTTTCAGGCCTGTCGTGTCCTCACCCAGCCCTTGCAAAGCTCTCTCCTGTGCTTGGGTCACACGGCTTCTGAAATGCCTTCATTTATTTATTTATTTTTGTTTAAACAGGGCCCCTTTTTTAAAAATTCATTAATTTATTTGAAAGGCAGAGAAGGAGAGAGATTGATCCTCCATCCGCTGGTTTACTTTCCAAATGCGGATGGGGACTGGGGCTGGGCCAGGAAGAAGCCACCAGTCCCTTCCATGTGGGTGGCAGGGACTCGGTGACTGCAGCCATCACTGCTGCCTCCCAGGGTGCACATTAGCAGGAAGCTGGGACAGGGAAGCCAGCTGCGTGTCAACCCTAGGCACTTCACTTTGATATGTGACGTCAGCTCGACGAGTGGCATTTTACCTGCTATGCCAAATGCCTGCCCCAAATTAAAAAAAAAAAAAAGATTTGAAAGGCAGAGAGAGAAAGAGATCTCCCATCTACTGGTTCACTCCCCAAATGCTGACAAAAGCCAGGGCTGGGCAAGGACAATGTCAGGAACCTGGAACTCAACCTGAGTCTCCCACATGTGTGGCAGTGACCCAAGTCGCCCAGGTTATGCGTTAGCAGGAAGCTGGAATTGGAAGTGGAGCCACGACTTGAACCCAGGGACCCTGATCTGGGGTGCAGGTTCCTGAGTGGTGTTTTAACCACTGTGTCAGATGTGCACTCCCACCCTCAATTTGTAAGCCCCGGCTTTCCTAATCTCCTTCCTCTGCTAGCATTACTTTGCTCAAACACAAGGACTTATCTGCAATCAAAATGATCTTCAGTCCATGATCCCCAGGACAAGTCTCTTCCCTTGGCTTGCAATGTGGTGGCTAATCCTTTCTTCTAAGAGCCATGTGCACATTCAATAAAGGTTTCTGAACACCTATTCCCTGGGCTCAGAGCGCTCATACATACACAGCCTAATGGTGCCGGCAGAGAACGCCTCGGAAGCACAAGCCTCCAGTGTTGACAGCACTGATCTTAGGCCTCTTTGACAGACGGGGACCCTGAGGCTGAGAGCTGCTACCTGGGAAGCTTTTTTTTTTTTTTTTTTTTTTTTTTTTTGACAGGCAGAGTGGATAGAGAGAGAGAGACAGAGAGAAAGGTCTTCCTTTTGCCGTTGGTTCACCCTCCAATGGCTGCCGCGGCCGGCGCGCTGCGGCCGGCGCACCGCGCTGATCCAATGGCAGGAGCCAGGAGCCAGGTGCTTTTCCTGGTCTCCCATGGGGTGCAGGGCCCAAGCACCTGGGCCATCCTCCACTGCACTCCCTGGCCACAACAGAGGGCTGGCCTGGAAGAGGGGCAACCGGGACAGAATCCGGCGCCCCAACCGGGACTAGAACCCGGTGTGCCGGCGCCGCTAGGCGGAGGATTAGCCTAGTGAGCCGCGGCGCCGGCCTACCTGGGAAGCTTGACAGAAGCAGGGTTCCGGAGTCACCCGTGGCGCTGTGCTGCCACCAGGAGGAGAAGCAGGGGCTTGGGTCTGTGCTGGCTCTGCTGATCAGGTCAGCACGGAGGGCGTGGGGCACCCTGCGCTGGGTCTCAGTGGCCTGCTGGGCCTGGGCAGACAGAGGCGGGGAGGGGACGCTGGGCCTCACCAGGAGAGCACGATGTCGGTGAGCGTCTCTGCTGTGGTGAAGAAGGCGAAGACGATCCAGTACATCATCCACTTCACCTGAGGAGCAGGGGCACTGTCGGCAGGGGCTGGGCTGGAGGAACCCCCACCCCGGGGCCCCCGGCGCGGCTCGCTGGTCGTGACAAGACTGTGGCGACACCCGGGAGCCCGGCTCTGCCTCAGCTACAGCAGGAAGGGACTCCCGGGACCTCACTTCCTGGGGCATCAGGTCACCCGGCGACCTCCTCTGCTCCAGGGTCCCGTTGGTGGCACAAAGTCGCCCCACGTGAACACGCCCGCTGCTCTCCCCTCTCTTGCCTGTGTGGAAGGGTCACCCACTCACATATTCCTTCACATTCTTTGTCTTCACGGCCTTGTAGGAAGAATAGGCTGGGTACAGGGTGCCGAAGATGAGCCTGGGGAGGCAGCACAGTTACTGGGGCCCAGGGCAGGGGCCACCGGCCCACGACTCCAGAGGGCCCGGCAGAGGGACTCAGCCAGGCGCTAAGGTCAAAGCACAGAGCTCCGGCCAGCTTGGCTGGTGACCCTCTTTCCTACCCGGAAAAGGCAGAGAAACCCAGAGGTCAGAAGGTCCCGGCGATCCCTTTAGTCATGGCCCTTGGTTATATACACACATATCGTGGGAGTGGAAGTCTGGTCACTGCCCCGGGGATGGCTGGTGTCTCCCTCCTCAACCCCATGCCCATACACACCCACCCGCCCTTACTTTCCACCTCCCAGTCTCAGGCAGCCCAGGCAGGGCCAGCTCCCTGAGGGAACCCGACACACCTAATAGGGCACTCCACCTGCCAGTCTGAGGCACCACTGTGACCCTGGGGATGTGGGGAGCAGAGGGCACAGAGGAAAGAGGGCCTGTGAGGAACAAAGAGGTTTATTCCCCCCGTGGACGTACCCCTGGGACCAGCTCAGGGAAGGGGCTGGGCTCAAGGCCCTGCCGAGTGATCCCGTTACAGAACACAGATGGGACAGTGATGCCCCTTGGGGATGGTGCTCAGGCAGGACAGAAGCAGCCCAGCCCCCTCAAGGCCACATGGAGGTGGGAGGCCCCAGACTCCCTCTTGAGGGAGGCAGGAGATTCGGTAGGTCCAGCGCACAAGCGCGTGACAGCAGGGCACGGGAAGACTGCAGCAGGGCGGGGCTGCTGGGGTGCCAGTCCCCATGGTGGGAGACTGAGTGGCAGGGTCCTGGGCTGGGCCGGGAGTGAGTGCTGTGAGTGCTGTTTCCACATGGACCTGCCCAATGAAGCAGGATACTTGCAAAGTGCTTGTCATCAAGGACAAAGTCTGGGGTCCTGGTGGGATGTGTGTGTGCCCGGGCTCCCTCGGGAGCCTGGGGAAGCGCCAGGGACACAGCTCCACAGTGTGGCTGACAGCCTGGAACGGAGGTCCTCGCTGCAGTGGCCTGCAGACACACACACACACACACCCTCTCCGTTTCCTCCCATACCCTGTCCTCCAGCCGGCTGCCCAGGGCCTTCAGAACATGTGTCCTCACCCCCAGCTCTGGACAGGCAGCACGCGGGGAGGACGGCCGGGCAGCTGGCAAAGGCTGTAAGCTCAGGAATGAGGCCCTGCCTCGCCCCCACGCTCTTCTCTTGCCCCTGGCCTGGGGGCCCCGGCCCTCCCCAGCTGCTCCCAAATCGGCTAGGTAGGAGGGTGTCGTGCCCCCTTAATGAATCACGCCGTGCGGGAAGCAGGGAAATTAAAAATAAAAGGAGTTATTAAGAATAATGGGGTGCACCCCTCAGGGCCCTCATCTCCATGTCTCCGGGGACACCAACCAGGGGCGGCGTGCCTCGAGGTGACTGCCGTTAGCAGCCCCGGCGCTGTCCACCCCCGCCTCGCCTCCATCACCAGCCCCGGCCCTCCCCGCCGGGCGCGCCCGCCGCCTCCACACTCACACCACCAGGCGAGAGATGATCCAGGACACCATGGCGGGGCCGCGCTCAGCGCCGGGCGGGTACCCGGCCCGGGCTGAGGATGCAGCTGCCGGAGGCCGAGCCGCGGCGGCAGCAGGAGCCGCAGTAGCAGCAGCCGCCGCGGGGGCAGTGGAGCGCGAAGCCGCCGCCGTTAAAGGGGAGGTCCCTGCCGCAGCCACCGGCTGTGGGCGGCGGCGCTCTTAAAGGGGAGGCCGCGGCAGCAGCGGCGCGCCCCCCGGCACCTGCTGTGGCTGGGCATGCGCCTTCGACCCTCAGTGCCCTGTCTGGTAATTGCTTGTTCACCTTCCTTGCGTTTCGAGCGCTAGGCCTGAGGTCCTGGAGGCTGGTTTCGTCCAGACATCAGCCACAGCCCACCTCAAGCTGCAAGGCCTAAAAATCCTAGGAGATCATAGCTCATGTGTGGAGTGCTCATTGTGTGCACGGACTTTGTGCTAAGAGCTTCACACGCATGATTTCAAATTCTTAGGACAACCTGATAAGGGAGAGTTATAATTATCCTCATTTTGAAGATAAGAAAAATGGGAAGCTTAGGGAGATTGAATAATTAGCTGCGGATCATAAGGCCACTAGTGGGCCGGCTTTATAAACAGGCAGGAATCCTGCATGTCTGACAGCCTCCACCCCTACCCCACCCCCCATTTATGGGCCCAGAAACGACAAACACCTGAGCTCCTGAAGGCAGAGGCACAGCTGCACCTGTCCACCCTTACCAACCCCCTGCTGAGAGGACACAGCCTGCCTCGACGCTCTCAAGGCGGCGCCCCGCCCCTGCACTGTGCAGGGCAGGGTGAGACCTTCATTTCAGAGAGGGTGGAGGAGGGGCTGGGCCACCGCAGGAGCCGCCCTGGTGGCGGTGGATGTCCTAATTCTGAAGACGCTGGTATCCAGAATGTAGGCTGGTGCAGCTCCTGACCCTCACCAAGCCGCCCGGCTCCAATGCCCCTCCTCCCGCTGCTCTGCTTTCCTGCCCCACTTTGGAGCTTTTGCGTTCCTCTTCCTTTTATGTTGAGGTGAAATCCTATGGTGACGACAGCATCAACCTATGCCCCTCCAGGCTAAAAGGACACAGAGTTTTGTACCTGAGTTCTGTCTTGACCACACAATAGTCCATTTCCAGCCCGATAATTACATTTCGAGGCTCAAGCCCTTTGGAAGATGTTTTCCAGTGGGTTCCAGAGAAGCAGCCTCTGATGACCCCTCTTGCTATCTTTTAACCACCTCCTCTCCCAAAGCCCTCTTGACTGGATGCAGCCTTTACTCATCCTTCAAGATGCTGCACTGCTCCTCGATAAGCAATAAATCCCATGGGCCTTCTCCACCATCAGCGAGGCCGACTGGGTTTTGTGTATGGGCAGCCAGGGCCTCGTGCTTTGAGGAATCCCACCACTGACTACCCCACGCCATGCTCAGGCCACACCTCACGGCCTTTCCCCTCAACACTCAGCCCCAGGGAAGTAGAAGCAGTAACTATGGGACACCTTTCTCTCCTCCCACCCGACTCATGTGTCCTGGTGCCTTCTCAAAAGCCTCCGAACCACACTGACCTCACCTTGGCATTTTTCTTTCTTCCAACTGGGGAAAAGTTCAGGAAGTAGAGTAAGAATCAGGTGCAGCACAGTAATGTATCCCCCAGCTCCTACCTGGCCTGCAACGTGGCCTTGAGTTCACAAGGATTGGCAAGGGAAGAATTTAGTCCACTCCAAACAAATTTGTTAGCTTTTTAATAAGAACATGGAAATCCCAATCAGCCCTTCAACAAAATTAAAATACAGAAAGTGAAATTAAAAGTATTCTACAGTAAATGACTTTTATTAAAAAAAAAAAAGTTAACTGTGAACATATAAACAAACCGGCAGGGCACTACAGTACAGCTGGAAAGAGATACATTCCCAATGTACCTATGGGCCAATGAATTCCATCATTTTCAAATAAATCCTTAATAAAACTTCACTGAGTTGGAAAGTTTTGTTGAAAATATTTCTGGACAAAAAAACCCAAGAAACAAAAAAACTTCAAGTTGGAAATCAAACTTTCCTTTGCATTTGGAAACACAGGAGGAGTCCCAAGGGAACGCTGGTACTAGGTGAAAATGGTTCCCGGAGTCACCAGTGTGTGTGGGGAACACACCACAGCTCAGACATGACGAAGTTTGTGGATGACTGTTCCCTCAAGGCAAGACTGAGAGGAGATGGGGAGAAACTAAAAGAATCCTAAAAAGCCAATTCTTTCAAATTCTGCTTTGGCTGACTTTGTGCTATAGTGGGCAACTGATTTCTAAAAATCCTATTTCTTCAAAGAGTTTTATCGAAAGGAAGACTAAATGTAATGTGCCTTTCCTCATAATCCAGGAAAACAACTGTGGTATTTCAAAAATTCTAAAAATATCTACTTTCATGAAATAGTAACTATTTCACTACAAACCTATTTTTCACTAAATACACACGTTTCCTAATCCTGGAGCCTCCTGGGAAAAGCAGTGGGTTCTCCCTGGGTCCTGCCAGACTCCAGTGTTCATGGGAGAGTGTGGGGAATGGCTTCACCCCGTCCCCTGGGATGGGCTGTGTCAGAGGTCAGGTGCAGAGAGAGTCAGGCTCCTGCCAGGCATGCTGACATGCCCGCCCTCCACCTGCATCAGCTACATGATTCCCCCTACCTCCAAACACACTCCAGGTAGGGAGGCCCAAGAGAAGAAAACAAAGCTGTGCCCACATTCCTGGTCTCCACGAATCTCCAATCAGGAGAGTGTGAAGGACAGCCCAGGAATGTTCAGGCAATTTGAATTCCCAAAAGGCCACAGGATGGGGATGTGGCACCCTCGGCTTGGAGTCTGAAACTGTGTGTGTGAACAGTGCGACCTTCCTGTGCCAACCTTCAGTGTTGAGGCAGCGAGAAAAGAGTGGCTGGAGAGTTTGTAATACTGACCACACTGGCTCTGGGTGAAGGGCCTCTGCTCCAGCAGAGAACCCTGCGTTCCCTGTAAGTGTTGTGAGTGAAAGACCTGCTTCACAGGGGAGTCTGGAATTCCTCCATGACTAAGACCTTGCCAGTTTGGACTCATGAGCCTTGAGAGTGCCGACAGCATCCTTCACTGCGTGGTAAATGATGTTCTTCACCTGGAGAAAGCAAGCAGTACAGTCAGCTCATGGCAGCCACATGCTGTGTGCTACGCTTGTAAATGCATGCTGTCCCCTGACTATACGCCACCCCCAACAATGACTGTGTGCTTCCCAAATCAATTCCCAAAGTGATCTGCAAGCCACGAAAGATATAAGGTCTAAAGCAGGTGAGGGCCGGCGCCGCGGCTCACTAGGCTAATCCTCCGCCTGCGGCGCCGGCACACCGGGTTCTAGTCCCGGTCGGGGTGCCAGATTCTGTCCCGGTTGCCCCTCTTCCAGGCCAGCTCTCTGCTGTGGCCAGGGAGTGCAGTGGAGGATGGCCCAAGTGCTTGGGCCCTGCACCCCATGGGAGACCAGGAGAAGCACCTGGCTCCTGGCTTCGGATCAGCGCAGTGTGCCGGCCACAGTGCGCCGGCCGCGGTGGCCACTGGAGGGTGAACCAACAGCAGAGGAAGACCTTTCTCTCTGTCTCTCTCTCTCACTGTCCACTCTGCCTGTCAAAAATAAATAAATAAATAAATAAATAAATAAATAAATAAATCAAGCAAGCAAGCAAGCAAGCAAGCAGGTGAGGATGCCAGCTGAGCTGCCCAGTCTCATAGTGCAGCTCCTGGGTTTGATGCCTGGCTTGTCCCCTGACAATTCAGACGCTGGGAGGCAGCACTGATGGCTTTTGGAATTGCCTTCCTGCTGCCTCCATGGGAAAATCTTGATTGTGTTTCTGCTCCTGTGTGTAGGCCACTGCCCAACCCAAGCCATTGCAGGCATCCGGGGAGTAAACCACCAGTGGAGGGGAGCTCCCTTTTTCTCTGCCTCTCAGAAAAAGCAAAGTTTGTATTCAAAAGATCATTAGAAAGTTTATATGCACCATCACCCATATGCTTATTATGAGGGTACATCAAAAAGTTTGTGGAAGAAAGGAATTAAAGGTTATTTTTGTTCAAAGAAGTCAAAAGCCATGCATAATTTTTATGAAAACATTTATTTTTTCATTATAAAATAACTCCATTATCTGATAGGAAGAGACAGAGAAAAAGAGAGCACTCTCATCTGCTGGTTCACTCTCCAAATAACTGCAAAGCTCAGAGCTGGCATGTGGCTGAAGCTGGGAGCCAGGAACACAATCCAGGTCTCCTCTGAGGGTGGCAGGAACTCAATTCCTCTGTCATCATTGCTGCCTTCCAGGGTCTGCATTAGCAGGAGGCTAAAGTAAGGAGCCAGAGTCAGGCCTGAACTCAGGCACTCCCATATGAGACAAGGGTGTCTCAACCACGGTTTCAACTACCAGGCTACACATTTGCCTTTCCATGTACCTAAAATATTTTTTTTAGGGGCCAGCACTGTGGCATGGGAGACCCGGAATAAGATCCTAGCTCTTGGCTCCTGGCTTCGGATCAGCCCAGCTCTGGCTGTTGCAGCCATGTAGGGAGTGGATCAGTAGATCGAAGGAAGACTTCTTTCTCTCCCTCTCTGACTCTGTCTCTCTCTAATTCTGCTTTTCAAATCCATCTTTTTTTTTTTTAAGTAGAGTTACAGAGAGAGGGATATACATACACACATCAGAGAAATTGAGAGAGAGAGAGAGAGAGAGAGAGAGAGAGAGAGAGAGAGAAAGAGAGAGAGATATCTTCTATCTGCTGGTTGACTCCCCAGATGGCTACAATGGCCAAGGCTGGGCAGGCTGAAGCCAGGAACCAGGAGCTTCACCTGGGTCTCCCAAATGAATGGTAGGAGCACAAACCCTTGGGCCATCCTCCATTGCTTTTCCCAAGCCACCAGCAGGGAGCTGGATTAGATGTGGAACTGGGACTTGAACCAATGCCCAAAAGGGATGCTGGTGTCACAGGCACCAACTCTACTCACTATGGCACAATGCTGACCCCATCCCCATGTCCTTTTTTTTTTTTTTTTAAACAGGCAGAGTGGACAGTGAGAGAGAGAGAGACAGAGAGAAAGGTCTTCCTTTTGCCATTGGTTCACCCTCCAATGGTCACTGCGGCCGGCACACCACGCTGATC